ATTGGTATTTGGGCAGGCTAGTAGAGGATTATTGTCTTATCGGTGTTTAGTTCTAGACCGATCCTTTCGTATGCTTGCATTTAAAGTAGATTGTAGGTCTTTAACTTACAAACAGTTGTTGTGGGAACCTTGTTTTTGGCTTTGAGCTACGATTGCATAGATCACCATCAGTTTTATAGGAGATTTCAATGTCCAACGGCATGTTCCCCAGAGAATAGGCAGCAATGATAAAATAAAAGAATTGGAGCAATGACTTACTTTACTCGGATTACAATTTCAAAGGCTGTTCCGAATCCGTTGTAGGTAAGAACAGTGGCGTTCATGTTGTCATACAGTAAACGAGGTATGTTGATGAATCTAGGCGGACAGCCGTGCAATGCCAGTATTATCCAAAGAACGATGCGATGAGCAGTGTTTATTTTGCTCTTTCGAGTTTTCTTGCAGTTCTCTTGCACTGACGATCATTTTGCCAGGATCCTCTCCAACCGACATTTTTCTTCGGCTGAAGCAACCCTACTCGTAACACAGTTTGGCTTGAGACCAAATCGTGGTTCGGTGGACATGATCTCCATTTCCAGATACAAGAAAAATAGGGAGGGGGACTCCTGATGGGAATATGGCAATTATAGAACATGTCAAAGCGTCAATCTTGATGCAGAGATTCAACACCGACTAAAGTGCGCCACCGCAAGCTGGATAAATTAAATTAAATTTTATTATATTAGAGTTCAATTAGAAAAACTAAATAAAAATTTTTGTCATTCAATACATTTACATAAACCTGCTGCTAATACTAGATATAGTAGATACCATAGAAAAAAATTAAGGGAGCACCCGTGCTGTGAAGAAACACAAAGAATAATCATCTTCCACGAGAGATAGACACTTAATAGTTGGGCGGATATTTCAAAACCTCTTTGTAAGAACCAGGGACAATACTAGTGCATCCTTTATAGTTGGTTTTTTCTGTGTCGGTTAATTAACTTTAGACGAATTAAGATTTCATCAAACTGTTCAGTAAATAGGTTGATGATTTTTTTTTTTTTTTTTTTGGTTTAATATTGAGACACTCATTCTAGATATATTTGGGGTTTTACTAATTCGGAGGAAAAAACATAAAAAAAGCCACACAAGGATGACTAAACCTTTACATCTCAGTCATTCAACCCGTTAAGCAAATAAAGGCATGTAGGTATATAACAGGTTAAAAAACACTAGCTTTCCGGAAAAATGGCTATTATTGATTTAATCAAGAGCAATTTAATTTATAAAGGCGTAGGTATATCCGCTTGTTTAAATATTTATGTACTAATTTTGTTTACTAACTCTCAGTAGATACAATAATAATTATCTTACGTCATTTAATTGGTGTATATTTAAAGATACGTAGGCAGGTTGTTCTACCCATATTTGACACCCATAAGGTCAATATACCGAACGATTCAAAATCTGCAAGTGGCCATTTAATCAGCAAGTATGTGAAACTGTTTTTAAAACTCAAGCAACTTATGACAGGTAAAAACGTACCAATCAAAAATTCAATTAAGAGTCTGCAAGTTTTTCTTTGTTGAGGTTATTAAAGTAAAGGTGGAAAAAACGTTTAATATTTAGGCACGTATCTGTTAAAAAAAGACTTTTCGGAAGTCAGTGATCTCAATGTTGTATTATAAGCTGCTTTTCAGGTATAATTCAAAATTTAAGAAGATAATCTTTGTACAATGGCAGTATTTTACGGGGCACGTCTCCGAATCATTTATTGTACGCGTGAAAACAGTTATAGGGTTAATAAAAGAAACCAAATTACTATCATATTAACGTCATGTATTGTTGATGATTTTTTATAGTTTTAAATTTTGAAAAGAAAAAATGAAAAAGTAAATCCTGTTAGGGGTGTTTGCTTGATGATCAAATACTAAAAACTGATCTGAGACTGTCGCGCTCGTACCGAAGAAAAAAAGGTATTAGGTGAGCTTAGTAATTAATATCAAAAAATTTATATGGTTTCTTTTAAATATAACTGCAATTAACATAGATAAAGTAGGCATTTCTCACGTTGTATGCTTTCTTTGGCTGCGGTTCCCGATTTACTTTTCCTCAAACAAGTTCTTGACTGTAAAACTTGTTTCAATCTCCAATACACTTCTACTCCTTGATTTGATGAACTTCCTCAATTTCATGAGAAAGCTTAGATCATGTGGTATTTCGTATTTCAAAAGTTTCCGTATAGCGAAAATCTTCCTCTCTAGAGTGATGTCTATACATGTTTCTGCAAATCCAGAACCAAACCAAATATATCTCATATGTAGATATTTCAAAACACAAGGAAATCCTTATTTAAATGTCGAGAAGTTCACAGTTATGATTACCATAAATAAAAAATAACAATTTACCAACATATGTGTTACAACCTTTGACATTGAGGTACTACCTTAGTACATCTAAAATACATGCATGTATTTTAGATGTAGTGTGTTTTTCTTCTTATGTAACAGGTAGCGAAGTTGCTTGGCAGTACAAAGGATTGCGCACATTATTAGTTATTCTAAGAGTGCTTTTAGAAAGAATTATTATCACAAATTGATTTTTATAGCGTGGGATATTTTATTATTGAAATTAAATTGGATGAATTTACTGACTTTCAAATCTTTCATTTATGGAGTATTCACTTTTTTTTATTAGAAAACAAACATCAAAAAGAGAGTAACAATTCAAGTTTAATATTTTTCTTTCGAAAAGAATAAGAATGTACGAAAATTTTTTAGAAGTAATTGCTATCATATGATAATTAGAAACGCGTTCAAAAACTGCACAAACAAGGTCCAACAAATTCCAAGCTTAAAACTACTGGAACTACAAGGTAAATAAACAGCCGTACCTAGTTTAAATAATTCTTCCACGGATTTTTGAAATCGCTAATACATACTTAAAAAATAGCTACCTACCCAATTTTTTGCCACATCCTTCTAATAATAAATTCAAAATCCCATTGTCTGACATAAAACTATGCATGAGGAAGCATTTTGGGAGAGACTCCCAAGAAATCCAAACAACAAAATATCAAATCGCTAATCAATCGGCTTCAAGCCAACCGATTACCGATTAGACAACCTTGGAACCCATACCATTTTACTTTTTTTTGCCGACTTTAATAGGTGCGGTGCTAAAGAAAAGCAAAATATAGAGGACAAATTATTGTTTAAAATATGTATCTTGACTGTTCTTGTTGACTTAGTACTACGCGAAGAATGGGGCGAGGCATTATTTTTAAATACCTGGTTTTTATCTTGATGCCGTTAAAACTAAGATTATCGTTGAAAAGTAGGCAAATATTGCCATATCTCGATCGAAGTTGAAACTTTATTCAACTTCGAATTAATTAGCTCAAGAATGGAGTAGTTCAAGGTAGATGTTTTGTCCAGTTTATTGTAGGCTGAGCCAACATGGAAACATTGAAAGGAAAGAACTTAGTTCTTATACCAAGAAAATATTGTTTTTGCTAAAAAAACATTTTAAATGTCCTACGTTCATCTGAATTTTTGAGGAATAAAGTTGATTTAATATTATCAAATAATGTATAGGTATTAATTCGTTTTTACAGAGTGTATTGAAAAAATATATATTTTTTTAATTTGCCGATTTTCTAATAATTTTCAACCTTTTCTTGTCCCCAAAAACGGAAATTTCAGTTTTTTCGAATTTCGAAAATAAACCGGAAGCAAATTGTTTCGTCTGACGCTTCCTTAACAAATTCGAGGAGGAAATCAACAAATTTTATATGAAAATTTTTTTACCGGTTCGACACGGCCTCATTAAATCAGTCACGTGTCCGGTGTCCTTTAACCGATTTGTTTGAAATTACATATTTATCAAAACTGTTAATGGTTCAAAGACACCCGAGTTGTGGCCCATTTAGTAGAGCTGTGTCAGCAGCATCGTACACGTGTTAAGAATTGAAACTGCTTGAAAACTATTCCCCTTCTCATATAACTTTTAGTGCGGTCCTACACCAAGAAAACATCAAACATGCAACATGCAACTTGCAACATGAGGTAAATACCGTAGATAGACTTGTGCCGCATATATTCAACGTAAAAACGTACTCGGGATCATCGCACACCGGTGCAGCAAACGAATGTACTGCACCTGTGTGCGATGATCCCGAGACATTCTTCATTTTTACAATGGATATATGCAGCACAAGTCTATCTGTGGTATTTACTTCATGTCGCACGTTGCATGTTTGATGGGTATTGGCGCTTGACAAAAATAGGCAATCCTCTCTATGCTTATAATCCTTGGTTTATGTTAATCGTTCGTCGGCTGTCATTGTCAAGAAGTATCGTCACACCCTAAATATATGGCTGTTTTTCTCCGTCTCTCTACGTTATGTCTTTCTTCTCTCTCGTGCAACGAAATATCAGACCGCCGCCTAAGAAGTTTCACGCTAACATATAGCGTCTGACGCGTATATGTGTAACGCGCGCATGCGTGACAATTCATGTATCGCTTCGTATAGAGTGTATACGACACTCTGTCTTGCTCCACTTTCGTGGCCCTAAAGTTTTACCGCGCACATGCGCGTCACACTCTTCATTCTCTTATATTGCCTATTATTCAGTGAATACGTGGCTCTCTCTCTTGCTTGTACAATGCTTCCTAAACTATTCCCCCTTGGAGCAACAACGTGTCTTCCAAATCACTCTCCATTCTAGTCCAAATGTAAGACCACCGCCTAAGACGTTCCACAAAAAAAAAATGGTTTTGGGATACTTTGGTCGAATAAAATTTCCGAAATTTTAACTTTGACTTTATCCCATATTTTCATGAGGCCTGATTTTGATCAAAATCGAAATTTTAAACCGTTATAACTCAAAAACAACAAGTTAATCGTCTACGACTTACGGTTCTCGAGATGTTCGACTTTGAAGTTTTGAAACAGTATGCTTGGTTTGGGTTAGCGGTAATTAATTGATTGATTCACATTTTCTTTTCCATTTCAGAATACCGCAATTAGAACAAGCACTGCCAGAAACCCCATCAGAAATGGTTTCTAGACGCAGAATATTATCTAGATCACGTGACGATTTGCATATGGATACAGGATTCCAACCTCCAGAAGAGGAAGAAGATGTTTGGTATCAGCGAGACAAACTCTATAAGGTAAGTGTCAATTTATTATTTATATAAAACATATGGTATTATTATGGTCACACATATACGTTTATAGCCCAAGGATGAATATTTCCCAGAGGTAACGTCTAATAGAATTAAATCAAATATTCTAACCCTATAAAACTGAACACCATGCAAACATATAAAATAGATATAAATTTAAATTGGCATAAAACTGTCAAAGGGCAGTGCGTTCCGTTTTGCATTTGAATTGGTTATGTAATGTTAAAGTTGTTACTTATGGCGCCTATAGAAAGCCTGATTTTGTTTTGTGATTATATTAGTGTACCGTTCAACTTCTAACCTAACATTAAATTGCTTTGGTAGAGGACCATACCTTCTCAATTTATTTTTCTTTCTCAAACATTTTTGGAAGGTTTAAAAGTGCAGTGGTTTCATTAATGGGATAAAATTATTGATCCTATTGTTTTTATTATTTAATTATTTGGCCCGCCATTTGAAATACCTATAACTGACAAAAATATATATTTCTAGAGGGTTTGAAATGTAAAAATGTCAAAATTTCGACGAATTTTAGGTACGTTTTTGGTCATAAATTTCCTAAACAGGCTTTCCAAAGGCTGTTCCTTGTGTCACAATAATTGTCAGCAGTTTTACATTTTCCGGGGAAACTGGCCATTATTGGATGGAATTACGCTCGTGTTATGATTTGAGTAGTGTAAACTAAAAATTAATTGAAAGAGGAGAAAATCTAGACATGTTATTGATTTGTTTTTTTTTTAACAAGAGTTTTACCCACAAATAAAAATTCAAAAATTATTTGTTAACAACACAAATATAAGCTCAAGTTGGAAAGAAAAAACTGTATTGAACGAAACCGGAAAATGATAAAATACCTTACTTGACGTATGACCTCAATCACAGGACCTGAACGAATTAGAAGGATTTTCTTATTTGAAAGTTGATAATCTTAGTTTAAGTTCAATCCAAGCTCACTTCAATTCAAGGTATAAATGGTTTCACCTAAGGAAAATAATTCTAGCTTCTTAATTGGTTTAGTTTAATTTCAGGTTATTTATGATTTTGACGCTCGAAGCAAAAATAACAGTACAGTTTTAGAACGGTTTTGGGTAAAAATAAAATAGGGAACTTGACAAAAAATTTAAACATGAAAATATTACTATAAATCATAAGAATACATTAATTAAAACCTATATCAGCGAAAAAAACAATTTTTTTTTGTCGCAAACGGCCACAATAAGGAATTAAAAATGCGGAAAAATTCAAATTATTTCCAGCGGGAAAAAACGCTCTGGTACTGGTCGTGACGTCATCCAGTATGATCTGTCAGTGTCTGTCAGCAACCGTCCATCATACTGTGAGTTCGCCTTGAAACACTGAGCGCTCGGAGCATTTTCCGTCTTTTTTCCTTATAATGAGAAGAACAGGGATAAAAGAACAAAACAGCAGCTCGAACTCTACATAATAAATACCCGTTAGCTGTGTTTATCCACGTTTTTCTCTAATTTTTTAAAATTTTATCGTTCATTAGAATTGGTTCACTTAGCTTAAATTTAATGATTAGCTCAGTATTATATAAAACGATATACCTATTAATTATGACCGAAGAAGGAAAGTCCAAAGGGCAATCCGACAATTTGTAATTTGTGATATGTTTATGGTAGCAAAAGTATGTGCGAATCTTTTTCTTCATTATAACTTCAAAATTTACAACTCGCCGCAACACAAAACAACAACAAAACAAATAACGGTGGAAAATGTGGAAATCAACCAAATTAAATACAATGTATGACGTTTGACGACAAAGTGAAGCCGGCGCCACACGATGTGTCGAATGCCTTCCAACGTTGGACATAGCGCGATTTGTGGCATCGTGTAACCGAGCGCTCATCGGATACATTTGCCGAATGCTAGAGTAAAAAACACTGTACCCAACGTTGGATCCAACATTGGGGCCAATGGTTGGACACATCGTGTGGCGCCGGCTTAACGCAAAATCATACTACGTGACGTCATCCAGATTCGCGCGCATTTAAGGTCGTTTGAAATGCTTTTAATTCGCGCGAAACTTTGAACATTTTTCACCAAGTTATTATTGAGTTTTAGGAAATAATATTTGGGGAATACTCTTTCAAGGCATAAATAAATGATTTAAAAAAATTAAAAAAAAATTGTAAAGTTCCCTATTATATCAAATCCTAAAATCGTTAAAAACATTTTTCCTAAACAAGTATTATTGACATTAACTTTCGAATGACATACTTTACTATTTATTACCGGTTATAATTTTTTCTACAAATTAATCGATTCATCGATTAGCACCTCTTTATCAAAACATCAAATTATTTGTGTTTTACAATAGGCTTCAAATTTAAAACTCTTAACCTTTTGGAAAATCATCAAACACTCGACCCCATTAGTTATTTTAACAAAACATTTAAAGTTTCGATTTAAAACTTGACGAGTGATGAAGAAAGTTAAATTACCTTCTGCTTGCTTATGCTTATGGAATGAACAGTCAAACACATCAGGCTACTAAGATTGATGTACTTATACATAATATTATACCTTATGAGTAGGTAATTACTTTCATTCTCTATTTGAAATAGGCTGTCAATATTAATAATTTGTTGATTGCTATGGAATAATTACAAGGTATTTTATTATTGCATTCATTCAACTAAGTAATTCATAAAATGAAATAAATTTTAGGAGTAACCGAATCAGGTAATCGGGACGGTCAAACCACGAATTTTTTACTGAAAGAAAGTAAATCTGTACTATAGAACTTTCACTAAATTCACTTGTTTACGTTTTAATGAGGCACTTGAGTGATGTGCTCGCTCTTGCGGTCTTCAGCACTTGCATCGCTATAGCCTTCTGAGGTACTGTCAAATTTGTCGCTCGATTTACTTCTCATGGGCTAACGGGTTAGTTTTGAAAAAATCTCTGCATTGAGTTAGAAATAATTTAAAGGGGTATCAATGGCAGCCGGATTTTGCAGGTAGATTTATATCGGGCATTTAGGAATTTCTGGTAACATATGGCATAAAGCTGGGGGATATATTTTGGGAAAATAATTGCCATTTTTTTGAGCTGCATATCTACAGGAAAATATATTCTGTACATAACAAAAATTGCATATCACACTCATTGAATGAAATAGATAAACGATAAACTCGAAAACCTGCCTACAGCTTTAAGAGAATTGAGAATTGTACTTAACGTAATGTTTTTATAATTTTTGGCAGAAAGTAAAAAAAAAAACTTTTTTGTTAAATAATTGGACTATTTGAGAGGTCGACTCAAGTCATTATTATTCAATATTATTTAGTGGCCCGTACTGTAATTTCTACTCGACAACTTTTATAGAGGGGTTAGTCCTATATTTCCTACCCTCCACGCATTCTTGATAACACTCTTCTTCACTACTCAGGGGTAAGCATATTTATTTTTCCATTTTTCGGTCCATATAAATCTTGGCCAACCTAACAATCTATTCAAAAGCGGACACGTCATAAGCTGAACTAGAAATTATTATTAAACCAAATTAAACACATCGTCATAGTTTACTTTACAATGTAATAATTTCAATTTCAGTCTACATAAGATCCCAGGCCAAGTTTATATCATTGAAATTTGGTAACATTGATAGTAGTTTTTGACAGTTAATTATTGCTTTGATTTAAAATAAGGTTTTTATTTCGCTTAAGAACCCCGCTGGTTAAAGACTTGGTCTCGCCACAAAATGATAATGTACAAGTTTGCAGCATCCTGGAAGGTGAACCCTTTGATAACGACCAGTAAAAAGGTATTTTTAATGAAATTCCGGACAATATTTATTCAAATCTGATGTAACATTAAAATTCCAACCTAACTGGATGTTTTCGCGAAGTGGGTGTTTTGATAAAACCAGTCTTACCAAAAATATCTCCTTTAGCTCGAGGAACATACATGGCTTTCTGTCCATTTTATAGCCAGTAATTCTATTTTTGTTTTAAGTTATTGCTTGTTTAGGATTGGTATCAGAGAACTATTGGCTGGTTTGTGTAGTTTCACGTAGTTTACTTGCTTTATTTTCCTTAAGAAGGATATTTGCTATCGGAATCAACAAATGGTAATAAAGTTGGCGTATAATTTTTTTTTAAATGAAAAAGCAAAAAATGTTCTATATACTGCCACTTCTCAGCTGACTATTGGCAGGAAATTATGAACATAAGATTCCATTGCATAACAATAATTTTCTTTTATGATGCCTCTTCTGTTGATTGAAAAATAGTATATTACGTGATTAGTGTCGTGAGAAACAATATACGCACGGATTGAAGAGGTATACACACGCAGGCTTGTTTTGCTTTTCTACTCGAATTATGGGCTGTAGTTTACGTACGACCACCCTTAATGCGAATTTTCCATTCCCAAATTCTATACTCTATTTTATTTTTATTTTTAACATTCAGGCATCTTTCGAGATTTGTAGTTGTATATGGAGACGGAAGATATTCATGTTCACTATCACTCTATATTTTATTAAATTACCGATTCAACAGTGCTGAACCTGTGGCTATTTGTTTTGTTCAAATTTAGAAAATTTGGACACTTGAGATGTCAGTGGTGCCAATATACAAAAATAAAAAAATTAGGGTAGGGTGTATGCTTAAGACCACACGACAGAAATCAATACTTCAAAAATCAATAAAACGATTAAAACGTAGGTTAAATAAACAAACATCACAGATGCTTGACAATTGTCGCCATATTGAATCATGGCAAACAAGCAAGCATAGCTGCAAGCAAGCTACAAGGTTCAGGATCTCCACTGACTAAACTCCAACACAACAAGAGTCTTATAAAAAAGTCAAAACAACTATTGACACCAGAAAGGCAGCTGGTGAGGAAAACCAGATAATAAAGTATCGCAATGGTATGCCGATCATTGAAACCAAGCAGCAAAAAAACACAACAGCACCCCATTATCCCTTTACTTTCAAAGCGCAGGTGGGCTC